CACACCAACATAGATTTCTGACTTATTGCACGCTAATTTGATCAAAATCATTTCAGTTTTTTTTCTTCATATGTTGTTGAGGGGCCAAAGAAAGACTTCAGACTAAAAAAATCCAATATTCTTCCTATTTTTCTTGGATCAGGCTTTAAAGGGTTAAATATCTCGTGATCAAACAAACTGTTTAGTTGAGTTTTTGAGACCATTCAGGAGCAGCTCTTTACTCTTTATTAACCAGCTGAATGATGGAGATATGATAATGATACTTTCACTTTTTATTAGTAATGCTGAAGGGAAAGGGGATGAGTTTAGGTTAATTTGTAGAGAGGAATTCTGGAGGATTTCTTTAGTTTCTGTTGCAGGTTAAAGGTCACTGCACTTAGATTTTCATCTTAAGTTTTATACTTATTTATAGCATTCAAAATGACAGTTGTGTCCGTACAAAAAGGGATAACTAGAGTAAAAAAATTGCACACACACTGATTTTCATAGGGATATATATTAAAAAAAAGTTTTTCCCTTGCTGGAAGTATGATTAAAACTTCATTGTAAAGGAGTTAGTGACTGACTTCAGACTAAAAAAATCCAATATTCTTCCTATTTTTCTTGGATCAGGCTTTAAAGGGTTAAACTAGAAAGCATTTCACAGGCTGAAAACAGAGGAAAAATCAGCTAATCTGCTAATAAATCAGACTTTAGGAGGCCAAACCGGTCACTCTCTGCTGATCTCTGATATTCAGACTGACACGGATCATTTTCAAACCTGCTCAAATAACAATAATCTTCATGTCTGGTCACGCCTGTTAGGCAGCTTCTGGGTATTTAACCCCACCTTCATTCCTCCTCACTATCAAGCAGTTTAGTTCTCACACTTTTGTCTGTTTTGCCCCTGCTCCCTTTAAAGTTAGTGCATTATTTTAAAAAAAAACTTTTTAAAATATCCATTATTCACACTGGATATTAAATGATTCTGTTTACGTCAATCCTAGCTTTAATAACTGGTAATAAAACCTCCAGTAGAAAAAAAAAAGAGGCAGATTAACTTTATTTAGTTACATTAAATTAATAAGTAGTTGCTTTTTTAACTTTAATCCTGAAAATAGGTTTGAACAAAATGCTAAATTGACCTTCACTCTTATTGATCCTTCTTCCATACCTGCATTATTACATTATTGTTTCTATTATTAAATGGTTTAGTTCGATCTTCAGGCCATAAAAGTCAACCAGGTTTGTTTTTTCTGCTTTTTGTCATCCAACATTTGCAGTAGCGTTTTATTTTAGCAATAATAACAACAATATATTTTACTTTCATCTTATTAATCTATATTTATAGAAGTATTTCCCACATATGTCCATGATGAAGACACAGCTAGATGGCATTATTGACTCATCTTATAATAAAATAAACCTTTTGATTTGACATCATAACCATATTGACCAGGTTAGGCTGTTCACTTTAAATTAAATTAAATTATCTTTTTTTTTTCTTTCAACCAGCTCTGAAGAGTAAAAATCTATGAAAACTGCTTTAACCTTTCAGCTCCATTATTCAGAACAACACAGTTCTGAAGACGTTTTTGGAAAAACTGGTGCCTGATGTTGTATTTTTTTTAGCACATTTCTAATTTACACCTTGAGTTTTAGAAAGAAGCTGAACAGATTCACAAGGGTGTGAAAAGACTAAACGCACATTTAAAGAGTCCACCCTCCAGACAAAGGACAAATAGTTTTAGAGGAATCAAGGCGTGTTTTTAAATCTATTTTAGACAACAAAAGCATCTTTAAAAGAAGGTGTTGTCAGATATGACTGTCAGAATGAAGGATAATGAGTGTTATTTCCCTTATTCAAGCTCTTTTGGGATCATTTAAATCCATAGCCTCGCTTTAAAGTATGAAAAGCTAGTTTCACTAAAGTAAGTACAATTTTAATAAGTAAGATTTATATTTGAAAATATATTTATTAAGTTATTCTTGAAACCTTATTTTGATTGTTACCAAAACCACCTTAAAGTATAAAAAGATGCATTTTAACTTCACTAAAATAAGTACAATTTAAATAAGTAACATTAATATTGAAAAATATATTTCTTAAGTAGTTCTTGAAACCTTATTTTGATTATTACCAAAACTTTATTTACATTATTATTATCTTAGTTTATTAAGTTGTTGCTTTGCTATTTGGAATCAGAATCAGAAATACTTTAATAATCCCTTATTGTCCTGAATTGTCTTCAAGAATGAAGGATAATAAATGTTATTTCCCTTATTTAAGCCCCTCTGGATGGATAAAATCACCTTAAACTATGAAAAGCTGGGTTTTAACTTCACTAAAATAAGTACAATTTAAAAAAGTAACATTTATATTTGAAAATATATTTCTTAAGTTATTCTTGAAACCTTATTTTGATTTTTACCAAAACTTTATTTACCTTATTACCTTAGTTTCTTAAGTTGTTGCTTTGCTATTTGGAATCAGAATCAGAAATACTTTAATAATCCC